TTTTCTTAAAAAACTTCTAGTTCGAGCTGTACACTGAAAAGAAATATAATGTTAAAACGTTGAATCTGATAGCCACCACGGGCAACCTATACTAATTGCAAGTATGTTTAAAGTGCTACAACAGGGATCAATGCTTACCGGCAAAACCATTATTATCAGGAACATAATTTTTAAAAATTTATATAATTTTAAACTTTTTAATATAATTATTGTGTTATTGCAATAATGCGTGGAAATTAATGCTATCTAATACATATAAATAAAGTTTTATTTAAATGAAYAATTAAAACATATGTACTTAAATATTACGCACACATATTGCAATATGCTTTATTGAGATATTTCAAATAAAAGAAAAATGAACCAGTACAGTCTCGAATTTCTTAGTATGGGTTTTTGTGCTTGTCTTACTAAGATTTTAAAATTTTTTTTTGTAAGATTGTATAAAATCGAAGTGTGGTTTCAGTTTGTCCTGGCATTTTTTGTGTTAAAGTGGTTTTTTTTTAAGTAAGTATACACGTGATAAAAGACTATCTTCAATTACTAATTGAATTGCTAATATATATATAATTGCTAATAGAAATAATAACTAATTATCCAACGCAGAAAAAACCCTATTGGGGACAAGATGTGTAGATGTTTTAAGACTTTTAATTGATTGGGTCACGCTTATTGAAGAGTCCTTTAACATTTCTTAAGGTTTAAGTTAGATAGTTCATAAATGGCGTTCTAATAACTAGTCACATTGGTCAAAAGTCTAGAAAAATAGTTTTGTATGGAAAAAATTCATAACTCCGCCATTTTGCAATATTAGCAGCTAGAGTTTTGGGATTACACGCACAATATATACCTCTATTATAAAAAAATAACAGTATTCTTCAAATATTCAAAAAGTATATATATTTTGCAAAATTACTGGAGGGAAAAATAGAAAAAATTACAAATCATAAAATTTGCTTTTATGCTTTTCAAACACATATTTATGATTAGAAAAGTGAAAAAATATTATTCTTATTATAAGTGAACAAGAAATAATAAATGTGAGTCATATTTATTTACAAGCACAGTCAGTACATAAAAGGAACTGATGTTCATCGCAAACTGGTCTGTAATAAGCAGAAAATCCGATACGCGACTTTTCATCTTTTTTCCAGCTACATTGTACGCACTTCCGACCCTAGTCATAGGTAAAATTTTTAGCCAGCATAGTATAAAACACCGATGTAAGCTGTAATTTCAAGAGCGTAGTGTGATGGTGATAGGTCTGGGCTCTATCTTCAGCAACCAGGGTAGCACACACCTCATCGATTTTCACATTCGTGTTGTTGATGATTATATCAATAATTTTTTGACTGAACAAAGGATCCCAAAAGTCCTCTATTGAATCCAGATTTACAGCATCATCTGCCAAGCTTGCTTTATGCGGGACTTCTTCTGTGCCTACACGATATGATCTTCATGCAGCTGTTTGCGTTTCGCAGGCAAAACTTTTTTTGCCGTATAATTTGGTCCATTGGCAATCACGTCGACGAGATTTTGAAGAAGATGATTTATTCAGTTCTTTACTTGCTTTACATTTGCGAGATGCTGAAGCCCGTTCATTTTCAACTGCATCTTGCATGTCTTTTTAGTCCAAATAATTGGTTTTGTAATCACTTGCGTCTGATAATACATCTTGTTCTGAGTCCGTTTTCGATTGTTCTTCACAATTAGAATGATTGGAAACATTTTCATCCAGAAACAGAACATTTTAATCAAAACAGAAAAATAAAGAAAAAGAGTCTATAATGAGATCTTTGCTACTCCTCTAAACATAACGGATACGAAGTTTCTTCCTTGATCTGTTAAAACCACTCGCGGCGAACCAGAAAGACAGATAAAATCTTTAAAAAATGCGACGGCCGTAGAAATACTTCAAATCGGAGTTAAAGGCACTGCAAGTGAATATTTAATTAGAAGACATTGCATAGTTAGAATATATTGATTTCTTYTTTTTGTCATCGGAAGAGGTCGCACGACATCCAAAGCTACTTTGTCAAAAGCACAACCTGGAGTATCCGTGATTATTATCGGTCCTTTTTGGTTCCACAATAGTCATTTTTTTCATCTGAGACTGTTTGCAATTATTATTAAAATTTCGTACTTCTTCTTTCATGATATTCCAAAAATAGTGATTCCTGATTTAACAATATGTTCTAGTCATTCCTTTGTGTCCCCCCATGATAGACGAGTGATATTCTTTGATTATGTCATAAATTTCGTTTATTTCCGAAGTTCTTACCAAAGAGTTACATATCATTAGAACTAACTCTAAAACTATAAATAAATCTTTTATAATTTTTTCAATTTTTTTCCAAGGAATATCACTCAGTTTACGTGTTTCCGCGATACTTATTCACATAAGATTTATTTCTATTACTACGTCGAAAAGTGATTTTAAAACATTTATTATCATTTTTTTATTTAACGGTTTTTCTACCGGTAGAGCAATCAATTTTTTGTCACGTGTGTAATTGAAAACTTTTGCTCTTTCGGACATGATGTCTTTATATACAGGCAATGTTTTAATTGTACTGAGTTCTAACACGCCTTTATCTAAAGGTGTACCTTGACAAGTTATAAAAATTACTAGAWTATCATTTCTATTTTTTAAAATGTTTTTTTAATTAACAATTTTAAAGAGTAATCCCACTGCAGCGGATCGGGATAAAGCGTGAGGATTTTGTTCTTCTGAATCCGTGGAAAAAGAAGAGTCAGGAGATGTTGATCTGGAGGAAAATTGTGATTTGGGTGGAGAAGTTTCAGATGATGACTCCAGTTTATTTGTAGAAATTTTTGGTTGTTGAAGTCTAGTAATTTGTGACGGTTTAGAAGTATCCCTTATTGATTTAGATCGCTCTGAAAGTTTTCTCCTTTTTGGAGCAGTTAAGGGTTTATGTTTTTTGATTTGTTGAGTAATTGATTTTGGGTTATTTTTTGATGTTGTATTTTAGGGATGTTTTAGCCGGACCGAGGTCGTAATTCCGCCGAAAGTTTTTCTTAACCCTTGTCCCTGTTTAAAACCGTACTGTTGCATTATCTGACGAAACCTGCGCAACCCTGACAAAACCCTTTTTTTTTTGTCCGTTGAGTGTAAAACCTTTATAGGCCCCCTAGATCTTGTTGAAACACATAATACAAAAGCAACAGTAACCGCCACGGGCGAGCAAGGCCGGTTCGCCTTATCCTCACCCATTCATTCTATACGCACACACAAACCTTATAAATTATTGCGTACTCAACGGTCTCCCGGAGGCGAGCCTTAACCTACTATTTACATTTGTGACGCACTCAACGGTTTTCCGGAGGCGTTCCTGACTACTAAGCTACTAATTTTTATGAGGCCCAGCCATCCGTCCCACGACGCACTGGCTAGGCCCATATACATCTCCATGCATCGACATGCAGTTCACTCATTCTATTGAGGGAGAGCGACGCGCAAGACTCTACTCGGCGCAGCCGAAGCCGTTTAAAGTTTCGCCCGGGATGAGGCATAGGAGAGTAGCTCCTAGGCGGCCTTAAACGCATACTTCTGTTGCCATTCATACTTCCTGACATACTATAATTCAACAGTTTCCACTCTCTATGTCTCTCCTTGTCACCTTTCTGTTTCATAACAAGTCCTGAGAAGGACTAGAATGCAACCCCCAAGAAAACACTGACAATTTCGAGAAGAGAGAGTGACGCAGCAGTAAAACCAATACCTTAGCAGTATCCTTAAGTATTTTTCCGCGGTAATTAGAATCTAGCAGTAGTACTTTGTTGTAAAACCTAGCATTACCACCTAGTCCATAGCAAAAGCCTCTAGAACATACTAGTAAAACTATGCACCTTATAATAAAACTAAGTACATTTCCGTAGCACCAAACCCTAAGCATGAGCACCTAGAACCTAGTAGTCAAACCCAAAACCAAGCAGTAGCACCCAGGACAAATTAGTAGCACCTAGCCACTAGCAATAGAACCAAGCACTTTTCAGTAGCACCTAGAACTATCAGTACCACCCAGCACCTAAAAGTGAAACTTCGTACAAAGTATAAAATAGCAGCACAAAACATTTATAAGTAGCATATTCTACCTAGACGTAGCAACTAGCAACTTGTAGTTGCCACTTGCTTTTAGCAGTAGCACCAAGCTTATAGTATCAAAAGTAGACCCGAGAACCTAGCAGCAAAACCAATTTGCAAGCAGTATCATCTTACTTCTTTCCGTAAAACCTAGAATCTAGCAGTAGCACTAACCTAAGACCAAAGGCACCAAGCCTAAAGCAAAAACCCTATGACCTTAGCAGTATCACCTTGATAATAGCAGTGGACACATATCTATTAATAGCTATATATAGTATACATGTAAAGATAATATATTCTCTTTAAATTTGACGCGKTWAGTAGCTGAATAGCTTRGCGYDYCACTAGGAGGATATATAAGACGAAGAGTAGTAATATTAGTGACTAGTTACCAAAGTTCGTTACAAAGAGATATACTCAGAATAATAGAATAATACAAATATA